TTATCAAAGCAGTGTCGGGTGCATCAGCTTTCCATTTCCGTACTGGACTCTGCGTCTCTTCCCAAACATGCTATCCAATCACTTTTAATCGATTGAGACTCCGCCTTTCTCATGCTCGCCCTGGGAAAGTGATCAGAGAGCATGTTCGCGGAAGAGACGTCAAGTTCAGCGCGGGAGTGGAATGCTGATGTACCCGACACTGCAGTTGACTACCCCTGTAAGTTACTTATGCGCTCGCAATAAAATTCAGTGTGGGTAATCCGAGTAAACACGAAGTTTTCAAATGTAATTTACGTTACAAACAACGTATGCACCTTCGTTATCAAGCTTTGCTAGAACAATAATCTGCAGGCTTAGCTGTAAAGTCCTAGCACATAAATGATGCGGCAGCATTATAAGTGACACTCTGGTTTTCTTTTTTGAGATCATAGGCTATATGAGAACTTGTTGCTATCAAAGTCGTTCAAACGCAAAAATTCTACTTCAATTATTATTGCCTTCACTCTTTATTTTCGAATCCAACTACCTTCCTTTGATGCCGTACACTTTCTGCGCATCTGCGCGTAGGCTCTTGTCAAAACTTTGTCTATTTTTTCACAAAGGCTCCAAGAGCGGAGGTTGATCAACTGGGCTGTCCATCGTTTCTCAATAGCAACAATGAAGTCAACCAATTTCGTCTCGCCTTGCTGTTCATATGCGATTAAAGCAGAATTCTGGCAGAGCTAGAAGCTGGTTTAACATCATAACGAATTCTTTACGTTGGGTAAATGTAGTGCTTTACTTTCATTCTAACCGATGCTCAAGGTACTATTAAGCAGCAATCATCAAAGCCTTTTTCTCTTAGATTTTAATGAACCACTTGAGCTGTCTCTCTAATACTCAAGGAAACTATTTCGGGCAATTTGTTATTTACTGCATCCAGTTTAGCAGGCAGAGATTATTTTTATGCAAATTTTTTTTCATTTGCTTGTGACATATCACAAGGCAGACCTAGGGATTAGAAGCAGAAAATCAATTTGCTTTCTTCTTTACAAACTGCCATTTTTTTGATTTGCCCAATGCTTGCACGTGGATGATCCTAAGGACGACGTTTATGGTTATGTGTACACAGCTAACTTTTCATTCAACTGGCTTGGCTTCGACAAGGCGGGGCTTTGTGACCGCTCGCGCCCTCGATGCACCTGCGTCTTCTCGCGCAGTGCTCTCTGATCACTAAGTAGCCTTAATTAGGTCACGGAGCCCCGCCTTAGCGAAGCCAAGCCAGTTGAATCAAATGGTACATGCTTTAAATGAAAATAATCAAAAAATCAAGCCTTCCCACCATAAAAGAATTCAAAACTTTCTCTCCATCTAGATCTTGAAGAAACGTAAATGAAGCTAACTAGAGCGATCGCGATGACAATTTGAAACAAAATGCATATCATTAAAGGTCTTGCTGAGCTGGAATTCAACCTAGCTTCATCGTTTACTGCTCGATTTTCTGGAAGAAGTCAAAAGCGTGAAGGTCCAAAAATAAAAATAATGCAAACGTTTAGTGACAACCTCTCAAGAACTAGCTATTCGAATGCACTTTTTTTGGTTCTGATTGATGCGAGCATTCCTTGCAGTCATCCCATTGAGCTCCTTATACACTTACAGCTGATTTCATTGCATATTACGCTTTAGAGCCCAACTTCATACATTTAATCGCTCATAACTTTTTACAGAGAATTTACGCAGATAGAGAGAGTGGATTTGAAATCAGCTCATCAAGGCGCATCTAAGTGATATGCAGTTCACTCCAGTGCTCTACTGGATTTGGAATCTTTCCTTCTAAAGCGCTAGTGATAGAGACTATTGTAGGTAGTTCGAGTAAAAATGAAGTTTTTGAATGCGATTATTTACAAGCAACGCGTTACTGTCGTTATCGGTATAAAGAAGCCAATAAACAGTTTTGAAAGTTTATCGGAAACCAAAAAAACTGGAAAATTGCTTTATTGAATGGAAGACTATTTTCACCTTTGGTTGTTTTCTGATCAAAGTCTACGATACATATCCTTTGTGCTTGGACGATTGCTTTCTCGAAAAACACTTTTTTGTCTGTACCATGCCCCCTGGCTTAGACGACTCCTCTTTTATAGTTGATATCTCGGGTTGTACAGCATAGCAGTAGGTTCTTCGTTAAGTCGTAAGTTTGCTACTAAAAAACCTCTCATGGAGGTTGATTTTAATTTACGATACCGCTCACATTTTTTGAAAAAAAGACGCGAATGTCGCATGATGTATGAACATCACCTGGCGTGGCCATATCTCGCTTCAGAGTGGACGAATTCTGCATCTAAAGCCATCATTCGACTCAGCTCGGCGCGGCGCATTTTCTGATATGTAGAGGTCTCCACTTGGACACAGTAGGAGGTCAGATTTCACGAATCGTTTCAGATCTTTGCTTATGGTAGGTTGCATAGTGGGTGCAATGAATAAGCACACCGAGTGACCTACAGTAAGCAAAAATCTAAAACGATTCATGGAATCTGACCTCCTACTGTGTCCAAGTGGAGACTTCTAAGATCAGAAAATGCGCCGCACCGAGCTGAGCCAATTGTGGTTTTAGATGCAAGTTCGTCAATTCTGAAATGAGATATGGCCACGCAACGATGATGCTCATCCAAAATGCGACATACGCGTCTTTTTTTCAAAAAATGTGAGCGGTATTATAGAATTATTGAATAGCATAGACCTCCTATGTGGTATTAAGACATTAATAAATTCAATTCTGTTATATATTAAAAAAAACCCCTGATATTGCCTCAGACCGATTAAAGAAGGTTGTTGGTTGATGTCGTTTAATTTGCATAAAATGCGCTGACATAAGGTGACTAACACACTGTGTGATTAACATTCCAGCCATACCGTAACTGCAATCTGATTTTCGGTACAGACTCCACAAAGGCGAGAAGCAACAAAATTTTGAATCAAAGATTTTAATTGTATGAGAAAATAATCAAAATTGTACCGTATTTGGAGACGAAAAGCTTGTAGTTTTGCGCAGAGCTTTAAATTCCGTTTTACCAACCTTCTTTCAGAATGAAGTGCATGCAATCGTTTTTTTTTTACTTTCTCGTGATCCTATTGTGTATCCAAATCGGTAAATCAAAAAACTGTTCTTCGTCTTTGACAAGGACATGTAATCAAGCTATGCGACAGTGTTGTGGATTGGCGTTCTCGAAAGACCAATCATTCGAAATTGCAGAGAAAATTTTGAATGCCAAGGCTATACAGGGTGTGCCAAAATTACCTGCGCCAACTTACCACGAAAGGCTGCGAAATACAAGCTCAAACTTGTGTCATAGAAGGCATTAATTAATCTTTACACATGGAAATTAAAAATCCAAAAAATCAAACCAGCATTTTCAAGTAAAGCAAAAGTGAAATTTTTGAACCCTTTATTTTGCTGTGTAACTGAATGAATTTGCTCTAATCTTTGCAAGAGGTTGTAAAGCACAATTTGCACCATCACATAAGTTCTACTTGCATTTGCACGATTTACTCCTTCATGAAATAAGAAAGTGTATTCATGAAAATCTTGCGTACGAGCATACTATAATCGATTTTTAGGTCCCAGACATGCAAAACCAACCGGGTGAAAAACAATGCTCTATTTGCGAAACATGTAGATAACCCTCTTCGAATTGATTCTCAACTATCCATACTCAATTGTGTTAGAAGCGAAGGCTTGTTTTACTTTCTCGCACAATTACAAAGCAAGAGAAAAGGATATCAAATAGATGTCATATAGGTTCTGAAGTCATGCTTGCGCACAGAGTACACTTCAGCTGTCGAGCGAGATTGGGAATTTTTGGAGAGATAAAGCAGCCAAGCTCTGATTGGATTGTTGCATTACGATATTGATGCATGGTGAGAACAAATGCATACTTGATTTGTCCTCAAGCCCGTCTTCTAACCTTCTGGCAACCAAGGAAACGTGCGCCGGTAATTTTGGCGCAATCTGTTATGATAGGATACTTATTTTCTGCTCATCAATCGATATCTATATCATATCTAGAAGTCGAGTAAAAGCAAACTGCACTACATATTTTATAGCATACTAGCTGGTGGCCCCGGTCTTACCCGAGACTTCAAGATATGTAGTTAAGCCAAAAGAGCTTGTAAACTTACGCCTCTAGATTTCTTCTAACATGCGCATAAAGCGCTTTCAGGCTAATTGCCGCACCCTACCAACTTTAAGACTGAAATGGACTTTACCGCCCCTGCTTACATGCTTATATGTAAAAATGATGGGTTGCCATGATGACCCTTCATTTTCTTAGGTTTGAGTAAACAAATCAATAAATCGATAGAATGGCCCGGCGAATCGCCGCGGAAAGTAGCTCTAAACCACCGCCGAGATCGAAAATATACGTGTGCGAAGTTTCAGCCGGATCGGTTCAGTGGCGCGCGTTTCTATAACGAACGAACAATTAAACGAACATCCTCACAGACATTGAGTTATATATATATATATATATATATATATATATATATATATATATATATATATATATATATATATATATATATATATATATAGATTTCTGATCGTTTGCGAGTGAAGGAAATCCATAAATGTACTCATATCCTTGATTACTCTTCATTAAACAATAGCACATCATTTATGGACTTTACATACGTATATGTCATTCAGTTCATGTTCTTGTGCATTCACATCGTATAAAAATGTTATAATTGAGGGCGAGGAAACCCCAAGCTGTGCGATGCGAAGGCAAGTGCAGCGAAATGTTATCTGAGCCTCACCGAAAACATTTTTCAAATTCACAAAAAAGAAGCAGGAGTGTATAATAGCCCAACCCTTTATTATGAAATGCAGACGAGCAAATACACTGTCACAACAAAAAAACTACTATGGAACTCATATCACTGCCTTCAAAGGCGACACTACTCTTATTTCTGCGAAATGTCAGCAGAAATTTGTCGCCAAACGTTGAGTATGCCTAGGTACTCAAGCGCTCACAAACATCTGAGGATTAGATTCCTCAGTATTTCTCTGATCTAGCAATTGGTTTTGCTCATGCCATCCCCAGTGCTATTATCGGATCGGAGCCAGCCCACAATGTAGAGGGCTTGGTTCTTGTCGGTCGAGGCAGCATAATTTCCATAGTGGTAGGCGGTCCCAATGATTCTCTCGCGTATGGGCCAGGACCCACAGCAGATTCCCTCACAAGCACAGCGGTGAGTAAACGCATACGCATGTAGAAAGGTGTATCCGGTCACGTTGTAGACGTCACCAAAGTAGAGTCTGTGTTGACCTGAGGAAGTACAAAATTCACAATTATTTTGCAACTACCGTAGGGTTTCGGCAATATTCAATAAAAATAATTCATGTTAGAGAACTTGCGAGCTAGCATCGCAGTCTGTTGTGATATCGTTAAAATTCTAAGATGAAATCTTGTAAGCAGATTTTCTGCTTTCTTTCGCTTTCTAGAGTGCCACCACTGTCACGGTTATAAAAATGTAGTTTTAGAAAGTGTTTGGAATCCTACATAATATCAAGTGATTTTCAATACTTAACACTTACTCGCTCTTTGAAACACTGGAACTGAAACGCATTCTGGATTGGGTTCCATCGCGAACACATATCTGAATAGCTCTAGCTTGAATTAATCTTGTTACATGCTCTGTTTGTCTCATTTGATTTGTAACTATGGGACAAAAAAAATGTTTTTGGTGTACAGTTACAGAGCAATGAGCTTTTTAAAACACTTGTTGTAGTACTCGAATTCCTTTTGCAAGTTGGATGAAACGAGACATTGAATGTTGATCATGTTTCAGAATTTGCAAACTGCGGAATCACATTTTTCCAACATTGGCATTAACGAAAGGCTTTGATAGCCAAAAAAGAAAGAATTTTACCTGGTATCGATAACACAGCCAGGTATTTTTGAGATATTATTTACGTAGAACCGGGAGCCGCTCAATACAACCCAGTCTATGATGGTCAGGGATGCAGTTGTGTTCATGGCAAGCAGCTGCGCCTTCCTAGACTCGCTCTGTGCCACGGCTGGCTCCGGGAGTTGTTGAAATTCCACATCTGGAGCAAGTGGTAAAGGGCGTTCGCATGTTGGTAATGCTAGCTGCCGATCAAGCTCATATACATTACCGCGTCCAGCCTGGTTGACTTCACCACTTTCAAAAAGGGTGCACACATTCTGAAATAGGCCAAACTGTTATGCAAGGAAAAAGGACTGATTAGAGGGCATGGAAAACTTCCAGGCTGTAAAGACTAGAAATAAACATTCTCACCTCGTTGTATTGAACGAAAGTGCAGTCAGATTCCTCGAAGCATGTGCGAAGACATATCTCTTCGCTTTCTTTCGGCAGCTCGTACTTGATCGTTGCAAGGAAATTATCTTGAAATTTCGTGAACGTATTCGGATTTGCTCCATAGATCTGTAAGGTGGTTTTCAACTTTGTCTCAAAGATATGTAAAGATATGTAGTTTAGATCACGGTCGAATCAAATTGTCTTAAGCTTTATTTTCGAAGATCCTGTTTGTAATGCGCTAAGGACGAAGCTTCGTGCTCGAGTAACTATGTAATAACGCATTTTTTTTGCTGAAAAGCAGAGGGCTTCTTTTGCTATTGTTATAGGCTTCAAACGACGCTCAATTTACAAAGATAAGCTGACTCGTTTTGTTGCAGAATCTTACACAATGTCCAGATCCTTTATGCATTTCCTTTTATTCAAAGGGATTGGATGCTGAAAGTCGGGGCTTCGAGGCCTAAATAATGCTAGGGAATGATAGGATAGCGCTCGCGAGAGGGACGCAGGTTGCGTTGCGGGTGCGAGCGGTCGCCTTCCAGCCGTCAATCCCGTTGAATCAAAGGGTACTAGTGATATAGCAACTGACCAAAGTAAAACAGCTCAGCATTTTTGCACAGAATCGCTATTTATAAACACTTAATTTCTGAACAAGAGTTACAAAAGAAGTTTCAAGCTCTGTTATACACTGATGCAAGTCTTCGTTGAAATTCTGGAATGATTTAAATTTGGTCATACAGACAACAACATTATTTGACTTTGCTTTGTGAAATGACGAAACGTTAAGAACTGCCGTAACTGTTTCAACACAATACGTGTATACCGTACCTTTGCTCGGCAGGCCCTTTATTTGATTAGACAACCACAAGATGTTTTTGACAAGATACCTGCATCATCAGCGTTGCAAAGATCACAGCGTTTTTTGTCGACATGGTTGGGAGCACGAACCCTAGTTTCCCTGAAGCATACAAAAATTACAGATTTTCAGCTATCTAAGAAAGTTTTTCGCAAGAGTTACTTTTACTGTGTTACAACAATCCGCTTCGCTAGGAAAGATGAGAAAACAATTTAATGGTTTAAGAGGATCCACAACTGTGGAAGCTAGTCAGCTTGAGCCACTTAGGTAGTGGCCCAAGCCAGCTAGCTTCGAGAACGTTGCTCGATTTAAGACTCCACCTCCTTGTAGGTCTTATATAAGAATCGTTGCTAGGGAGGATCTTAGGGGCGGACTCTTCAAGACTGAGAGGTCCTCCCCTCTTTGTATCCACGGAGCTGACCAATCACAAGCCACAGTTACAGTACTCGAACACGCCCAAGATTGCACAGGTCTACTTGAGCAAAATGCAAAAAATGGAAACACTGATTTTTTGAATAGTTAAGGTTAGAAGCTAATTAAAACAAGTTTCCACACTCTCAATTACTACACCCAACAAATTAAGTTGTCCCTAAGTTTTGTCGTTTTTTTTTTTGAATAAATGATTGTAAAACCACGCAGACCAAAGGCCTAAAGAAGTTTCAAAATGCATTTTCGATGCAGCCTTTCCTTCTCTTTCTTATTTTTACATTTTTGAACTAAAATCCTTTGCGCTTTTTTTGATAATTGCCAAAACTCTTCACCCGTCATTTCTGTCTGCTCAAAGTTCGGCTAATTTCTAAAGATTTCATTTAAAAGTTTCGAAAAGGATTAAGTCTGGTAAGATTCTCGATTATACAGTAATAATTTTTTTAGATTTTTCTGATTTGCTGATTTAGCTTTGAAAAATTTTTATTTGGAGATTTCGATTTTTGGTAAAGTCATGAAAACGCAACTGCAGCAAAAACATGAAAGGCCCCAAAGTTTCTGCAAGTTGAAAATTGATTGTTACCAAACGTTATTCGTGAACATGACCAAGTTTGATTTGCCTTGAGAACCAGCTGAAAGTGAACATATCGCTGCTTTTCCCAAGAAACAATTATTACTGACTTGATAAACGTGACCTGTGTGCTCTAAAGTGGGTGCAATGTAGTCAAATGTATGCCCTACATGACAACTACTAGTGCTTTTTGAAATTATCAGTATAAGACCTTTTGGAATTCCCGGAAATTTTGGCGTTGTTATTAAGCTGCTCAAAGATCCATGGCGATAACATCGCAAAGATAGCATAGATCACAAAACAAACATGTAGAAAAAAGATGAAGATTTGAATCGAACAACACCTAAGCAGTTCACGATTGTGTTTTGTGAGTTTCAGTGAATGATGGAAAAAAACTGACAAAACTATTGGGACAACCTAGTAGATGAAGTCCTTAACCAACTTAAAATTTATTGTGATAAGAAGGTTGAGTTGAAAGTCTTGAAACCTGAAATTATCTAGGAGTTCGTGAAAACATCGTGCACTATGCTGGCAAGTTGAGCTGCCAAAATTCACGATAACCTCACACAAAAAGCATAAATAATTTTATAGCTTAATGAACTCTGCATCAAAAGAGGATACGTCAGATGATACGCAACTAAGCTTGTGATTATGTTAATCCAAAAAATTCCATAAGATCTGTAATCCAAAAAAATCGTAAAATCTAAAAGTCCATTTTTTGGGCAAATAATTGACCTTGCCGGTGCGCTTGTGTTCCAGCCATAATCGAGAAAGAAGGTACTGAAGAAGGTATTGATGCACATGCGATTTTTATCGTAAACTTTTTAAGTCATACAAGATGTTTGGAAATTTTATTCTTTCTAATTCTGGGGATCAAATCAATATTAGTGAGTTTATTGCTGTAACAATCTGATAGAAAAAGTTGTGTGTCTGTTTGTCTGCATGTCTGTATGTCTCTATGTAACCTTATTCAACTTTCTTGGCGGTTGGAAGGAGGGGCTGTGCGGCCTAATTAAGGCCCCCGCCCTGCTACGCAGTCTGTGTCTCTCTCACTCGCGCTCCCTGATCATTACCTAGACTTATCTAGGACACGAACCGCCTTCCAGTCGCCAAGTCGGTTGAGTCGGAGAATACGTAACACGGAATAGAAACATTCATTTCTAGAAAGATCCGGGCCACACCTGGCCATATACACTTTGGGGCGGGAGAGCGTCGTGGGCTACTTTTCATCATTGGTTGACATCAATTTTGTCGTTTTTTTTGTGAAGTTTCACCGAGACGGGAGTTGATACCGGGGATAAGTGAGCATGCTAATTACGAAAACCTTAGCTATAGGGCCGGGAGGAGTTGGGCTCGCCAACAAGTTCATTATAAATTTAGCACTGCAAGACCGAGACCGGCGAAGACCGGAGGAAAAATTACGGCGTACTTAAAAGGATAAGTGTACACAATAAGGTTGCTAAAAGATGTGAAAGAGTTATCAGTGATATTAATCTGAATTTCAGGGTGTTTTAAGACGGCCTCCGCTTATGCCAAAGCGCTTGTCTTTTACAGCTGCGCAAAATGTAATGCATTTTCACTTTTTCGCTTGCCAAGGAAAGAGGCCACGATTTAAAGCGCTTCCTTGCAATTATCAGTGATTTACAAGATTTTTAGCAATGAACTCTCGAGCGTGTTAATACACCTTTCCACAACAACGTTCTGGAATTATAACAGTTTGAAGAGCGCTGAAGCCAGTGTTTGAACTACCGTGCAATATAGTATTACCAATCGCTGTATTTCAAATACTTATTTGTAAAACGAGTAAGCTTGAGAGGCTGAAAAATTTGAAGAAGTTTTGATGACAACAATATATCATTCTGATACATTTTATGTTGAGTCTTTATTACCTTTTCTTGAGGTCTTTCTTTTGATCGCACCTCTGCCTCCTTTTAGCTTGTTCTTATCGCTATTTGAGGAGATACTTAAAAAAACAAGGAGCTGAAAAAGACGCAACTTTTAATCATTTATCTGTTGGCTAAATCAGAACAACATAAGCATCTTCACTACTTAGTTTATGTTAAGGTGATCGGAAAGTAAAGGGACACTTATGGGACACTTCAATTTTGAAATTTCGATGATTTTTTGGTAAACGACAAACAATCCAGCAGTAAAGATGCATTTGTATGAAGTGATCTTTGCAGGTTATCCTGGCAGCAACTTGCAGTTCATATCCTAAAATCTTCGCGCGGCGCTTCAGAAAATTCAGACAGACTTTTGGAAGCCATCCGAATTCGTACTGCAGTACCTTGAAGTCCCTTGACATTCTATTCGAAAGTGCTTTCCAAGCTCTTTCTAATGATTGTTTGAACAGGCAGAAATTCTTCATCCTTTTTATGAAAGAAGCAGATTATCCGTGAAAATGCAATATTTGGCACACAATTTCAGCTAGAAAACGTGTTTGGGCTGTAATTCGAGGTTTTCTCGAGGTAAATTGCGTACGTATGGATCGACCGTGAACAGCTCTACCAGATGCCATTCGTTAAAGTGAGCCAATTCATCACCTCAATGAGAAAATAAGTTTTATTTTACAATACATGCTACATCTTCTGTTGCAAGCGTTGGGACCATCAGACTATAATGGATTTGGTGACAATCTCCTAAATCATTGCAGCACATATTTTTATCCTCACTTGTTTTACTGCGGCGTTGCTGCTTCAAGTTCAAAGTTACTTGAAGTGATGAGCTTAGATTTTAAACACTCATAAACACGACGCCGTGCGACAGTGCCTAGTGCCTATCTAAAGACCTCGATCAGTAAATTTTGATATGTACTGACATCTCTTAAAACTTGGACATCCAATTGTTTCTTTTAAAGAATAACTTTCGGATTACCCATATATTTAGATATTCCAATTTCTGATGCTAAAGCATGCGAAAGTCTACAG